ACAAAGACTATAATGCATACTCATGAAATATAGTAAAATATTACAAAGACTATAATGCATATTCTTGAAATATAGTAAAATATTACAAAGACTATAATGCATACTCTTGAAATATAGTAAAATATTACAAAGACTATAATGCATACTCTTGAAATAAAGCATTTTGGTGTTTTGACAATTCAGAGCCACCGAAAGACTTATACGAAAAAATGCATATTAAAAATTTCTGACTCAGTGTGCAAGAACCTTTAATCTTAATTATAAGAAAGAGACTTCATTTCAATTCATCTACATTTAGCATTATTTTTGGCAGAAACCAAACATTTATGCATAACAAATGAATAATAATTCTGTCTGGCAACAGTTCAAAAAGCACTTTCACATTATGAAACACTTAATCAAAGTGTAAATCAAAACTCAAAACAGAAAACACAATAATACCCAGAGAGAAGCGTGTAGAGTGTATTCGGCGCAGGACCAACTGGACGGACATGGCTTGAAATCGGCCATCTTTGCACATGGGCACTGAGTTCTGCAGCCAGATTGAGCCAATCACCTGAGCGTTAGACACCATGTGACTAATGATTGGCTGATGACATCACAGAAAATTGTAGATCATCAGAATCCACAGCTACTTTGTCAGTGGAGTTATATTATATTGTATTATAGTTATGTCCTATCATCATTAAAGAACCAAACAGTAGTGCTGGATAAAACAAGTACGAACCCAAAAGGTATTCTATACATACTTTAAAAAAACTCAACAACATCTCTAACATCAGAACAACTGAACCAACTAACACACAACCACATGGAAAAAACACTAAAGGTAGAAGTAACTCAAAATTCTGCATGTTGGGATCTAAAGTGTAAGATGCAATTACAATCATGATTATGATCAGAATTATTGTGAGCGTCACTCCAAAAACAGCGGTGATCACAAACACACACAACATCTTGAGTTTTGCACCAACTCCGCAAAACAAGAACAACAGGAATAATTCTCGGACGTTCATTTTTTTTAGATCAAATGATAACTTTAAAAATGCAAAAGCGCCGATTGCGACTCCAATAGAAGCAAAGCATGCTATGAAAACTAGGGCTGTCAAAATAACGCGTTAATTTCGATTAATTAATCTGAGAAGAAATAACGCGTTAAAAAAAATAACGCAGATTAATCCATTGATCCGTTTTGACCTTTGCGGAGCCGTTCTAGCCGTAGCCACCATTCGTGTAAAAAGAATGAGGGAGACAAGAACGCGCTGCTTGGATCATTGTTTGGAACATTTACTTATAACAAACGGAGTTCGTCAACTCTAAAGTACCACATCAATGCAAAGCATCCAGGAGTGTGTGCGTGAGTCGGTGAGTGTGTCTGAGAGAAAGCGCGCTTGTGTGTGTGTGTGTTGTAACTTTTCACGCGCTCTCACGTCACACAACCATTTTCTCACGCACAGAAATATCGCCCTAACCTGGCCCTAGCCAGATGAATTTCGCTCCGCCTAGCTTCACTCATCCATCTGGAACCGATCCATTGAAATGGCGTTTCAGAAGGCTGGGCCTTATCAAAAATCCTTGCATATGATTGGATAAGCCACTTGTCTGTCATCTTTATCGACGTGCTATTTCAACCACTCACACTACCAGAGGAGCCATTTGGTAGATCAAGCTCTTGCCAAATCCGGTCGGGAGAAGGGCGAAAACATCGTTTCCACCAACAAAAGCCTTAAGAGCCGTTCTCTGATGTTCTTTTAATGAAACAATATTAGGTAGATTGGACAACACGGATGAAATAGCAGCATCAATGTTAACGCTTGCTTCCTCGATGCGAGCCGCCATCTTTGTCTGAATCAAAACAGTCTCTCGGTCGCTTCTCCACTACGTCACATCTATGAAACTCCCGCCCTGCGTCCTGATTGGCTAAACCATAAAGTTGGTTGGAGAAATCACTCTCAATGGAAGAGGTTCCAGATGGATGTGAGTGAAGCTAGGCGGACCGAAATTCATCTGGCTAGGGCCAGGTTAATATCGCCCACCAAAGAGAGGACACGGAAACAGACAAGACAGAGCACGTTACTTATGATATTTTTAAAAATCTCAGCTCTAAGATTCTGTCAATTTTATTACGAAAATCAAACAATAAATACCGTTTTGGCGCTTGTAAATGTGACATGAGTCATGACAGATCACATAGCGGCACGTGAACCGATCATCTCTAGCTAATAGTAAGTAAACACGAATGACCAATGTTGAAAGATACAGTGTATATTCCTCGATCAATCAGTGTTTTTCAACCGCGAAAAGAGGTCAATAAAACAGCTGGAGAACAATTATATCACATAACATTTAGCCTAAGTTACCTCAGGAAAGCCATTTCATGACCATTTAGCACGTTAGTTGGCTATAAAAAAAGAGCTATAGAGAGTATTTTTCTAAATGTATGTAGCCTACTACTATATTACATATGTATTATATTTTTTACTTATATCAAAGTTGTTATTTGTAATAAACACGCATTATATTTAATTTGAGCTATTTTTAACCTTAAATACTTCCAGCTGAAATGGCTCTCTGTATTTTTACAGCATTGGGTGAGATGTTTTTTTTCTTGAGAAAAATGAATGCCTATCTTGTGTACCTATTTATCCAAATGAGTCAATATTGCATCAAATCACAAGAATTAATTTATATTGAAATCGTGAAATTTGTGTATTTGTGGTTAAAAGGACATATTTGCTTACCTACAAAATATCACTGACTTACAATAGACCTGCATTACAACCCCGAATGCATGGTGTCCACTACAGTGGTCAGATTTATTTTTAGTTATCAAAAGTAAACTATAACAAAGATTTTTCCCCCAGAAAAAAAATAGAGACACGTGTGATTTAATAATGCATGCATTAAAACAGTAAAGAGCAGATATACATTTACATGACATTGTCATTTAGATTACCTTCAACATGTATAGATGTGATGTGAAATGCAAGGATCAGTGTGAAGAAGAGCCATTTTGGTTCTTTGGTTCATTTTGGAGAGTAAAGCCACCGTTAATCTGTGTCTTTAAAATGTGATCTTACGATATAACCCAAACTATAAAGCACATACTTACAGTACGATCGCTTCATTTAACAGCACCGGCAGTGAAGTTGAATCCTGTTTCTTTGCTTTCACTTTTGACATCTCACTTCCTATTTCCTGTAATCAAAGCAGTGTATCGCTACTTCGATACTTTCGCAGTCAGAACTAGTTCTGTTTTATCTTAGGATGTCCATCCTGAGGTGACTAGAGAGTATGTCAGTTCTTTTTCTATTGAAGAATTGTTTGTTGAATGGTCTTTTCAAGTATAAATTGTACATGTTCGTATATTAATTTTATAGCGACATTGAGTATATATAGATATGTCCCCTTTTAATATGGAGGACTTTACCACTATGAGTGTGTGCATGTTTAGATGTTTGAACTTATTGGTTTTTTAGGTAGGTTTCATATATGTATTAAAAAATAAAAGGTCAAGTTTATTCTTCATTTCCAAGATCAGGGAGTTCTCTCGCCACATTCTCTCAACTGATATGTCACTTTTGGTAGATGTGATAAAATCACACCAAGGCAAACCAGTTATTGCCAACTGGCATTGAACTTGCCAGAGATACTTATGCCTTCTCAGTTTAGCCTGACCGTTTATAAATTTAATGTGTGTAGCTTCTGTTATATTGTCAACATTTGGACATTTAGATCATACACTTTAGTGTCAGGGCTAGCACCAAGGTACGGCACCACAGGGTGTATAACAAACCCAGAATGTGACACATTTACTCTACAAAAGTCACTGTACTGCTGTAAGACTTCTGGCTCGAGGTCAATATCCATTTTCATGGGAGATGTTATGGAAGCAGATTCAGGAGAGGAAGTTAACAGGATGTTTATTGACCATGAGCGGAATAGCAGTAAACAGGTATGTGAGAAGTTCAATGATAATCTGGAGATCTGAGGGTGATGAGGTGCAGGTGTGTGTGATCAGTATTCAGGAGAGGGAGTGCGCTGTGATTGGCTGGTGTGCTGAGCCTGGCAAAACCGGAACAGAACCCTCCCCCCCTCCACGGCCCGCTCCTGAGGACCGAGGACCCCGACGTCGTGGTGGCCGACCTCTTCCTCGGGGTGCAGGGTGATCGGGATGAGCAGAGTGGAAAGCTTCTAGGAGGGATTGAGGATGTAGTCTCTGGGAACCCATGATCGTTCTTCAGGTCCATAACCCTTAAGCTTCTTGCAGGGCAGGCACATCCTGATGTCCCGGGTCGACAGCCAGACCTTCTGACCAGGTTGGTTGGAGGGAGTCTCTCATCGAAGGTCTCTTGTAAATATGGTTGCTAGTGATGTTATCAAGGCCAGATTTAGCAGTATAGCATCATCTGGACTTTAGAACATGTCTGAGATAGACCATAAACACCACAAGCGCTGCAAATTTTGCCCCAAAATCAACATTTTGACATTTCCCTCAGTGTAAACAACAAGAGCTGTAAATGAAACAAGGGAAATCCATCCTATGATTCCAGCTGCTCCTCCTAAAGTGTCATATTTTAGTGAGAAGAGCGGAATTTCTTGAGTGGAAAGCTTCTAGGAGGGATCGAGGATGTAGTCTCTGGGAACCCATGATCGTTCTTCAGGTCCATAACCCTCCCAATCTACTAAGTATTCTAGAATGCCACCACGGCGCCAGGAGTCCAGGATCTCGTGCACCTGGTATTTTGCGCTGTCCTCGAGGATTGACAGAAAGGGGGGGAAGGGGGGCCAGGCTCTGGGGAAACAGAAACGAGAGAGTGATGAGGTTTGAGAAGGGAAACATGGAAGGATGAATTCTGCAATGTGAAGTGAGTTTGAGATGGTCTGATGATGGTAAAGGGGCCAATATATCTAGGACTAAGCTTCTTGAAGGGCAGGCACATCCTGATGTCCCGGGTTGACAGCCAGACCTTCTGACCAGGTTGGTTGGAGGGAGTCTCTCATCGAAGGTCGGCTGTCATACTGCGCCGGCGCACTGCTTGTTGAAGCTGGTGGTGAGCTGCGTCCCAGATCCTCTCGGAACCAGTAGTCGACCGCTGGGACGTTGGATGGTTCACCCGACCATAGGAACAACGGTGGCTGGTAACCGAGTATGCACTGGAAGGGAGTGAGTCCAGTAGACGGTCCTCCAGACTAGGAACTGGTTCCAAGAGTTCTGGTTGCCCTGGCAGAAGGTTCATAGGAAATGGCCAATCTCCTGGATCTTCCTCTCCGTCTGCCCGTTCGACTGGGGATGGTACCCGGAGGCTTACGGTCACACCTAGGAAGGAGAAGAATGCTTTCCATTCCCTGGATATAAACTTAGGTCCGTGGTCTGAAACGATGTCTTCGGCATAAGGGTCGTCCAGTCACCGACTGGACCTGGTAGAAGGTCTGGGTTGCAGTCATCGGGAGGTTAAGTTGAACGGATTGTTCACCCAAAAATGAAATTTAGCCCATTATTTACTCACCCTGAAGCCATCCAAGGTGTATATGACATTCAACGAACACTGTATCCGTTACACTCCTCTGCCGAGCCAGAGAAGGGCGCTGGTTTGGCCATGGGACTGGCGATCGTGGTCGGGGAAGAAGTGGTGGTGACAGCTGGGGTGATGGGATCAACGTTGTCCTGAAGTGGTTCTGGTGAGCTTATTGTGGTCCAGTCTTCTGTTATGGAAACAGACTCAGGAGAGGAAGATGGAAGTTAACAGGATGTTGATTGACAATAATGAGCAGAATAGCTTCAAACAGGTAGGAGTGATAAGCTCAATGATAATCTGGAGAGCGGGATACTGGCGGTGAATGAAATGTTCCTTCTTACAGGTATGATGACTGGTAGATGAAGAGATGGATGACAGAGCTGATGCCCACAGGTGGGAACGGAGACACAGAGGAACGATGAACTCTGGAGAGGGATACAGGGGAGAGAGACGAGGTAACACTGGAGAGGAGATGGAAGAAGTTCGCTAGAGATATCTGTATGATCGCAGGAGGAAACAAGGTAAGTGTCTACTTCATGTAGAAACAAGACCAGACAATGAGCTACACTTAATGCAAAGCAATATTTTTAGATGTTTAATAGAAGTTTTGATCCAGAGTTTAGTAACAATTATAATTTAGTCACTGTTTGTGACTTGAACTGATGCAGTCAGCTTTCTCCAAATTACTATTACTATTAACAGTAATGCTACATAAAACAAGTAAGAACTGACAAAGCTTTCCACAACTGCTTTAAGAAAACTCATCATCAGCCCTAAAATAAGAAAGACTGAACCAATGAGCACACAACCACATGAAATAAACAGTGTAAGAGCTGATAAACCGATCACTTTTTTTAGAGTTTCACTCTTTAAATCCCAATATGCCATTGTAAACCATAATATTAGCAGCATTATTGTCATCTTAACACCAAGTAGAGCAAACACAGTCACAAACCCCATTGAAAGTGACGCTCCAATGGTACAACACAGAAATGACCCAAGCAAAAAGACTGGAGATTCACGACTAATCGTTTCATTGTGAAATATGAAAGCATAAGCCCCGGCTGCGACTCCAGGAGCCGCGTGACACGCGATGAGCACATCTGACCACGACCTGACGCTGATGATTGTCCCAAAGATCAGAGATGAACCAAGAATAAATGGTACAGATATAATTGCTATCGACATAAGTATTAGAGGAATGAAAATACATGCTATCAAAAGCCCTATGCTGTCTCTGAAGTTTTGACCACTGCTACTTCTGTTAACATTAAAATCCTTTTCTCTGCTGTCTATTGTAAATATTGTTGCTAGTGATGTTATCAAGGCCAAATTTAGCGGTATAGCAACATCTGGATTCAGAACATGTCTGAGATAGACCATAAACAATACAAGCGCTGCAAATATTGCCCCAAAAATCAACATTTCGTCAGTTCCTTCAGTGTAAACAACAAGAGCTGTAAATGAAACAAGGGAAATCCATCCTATGTGTCCAGCTGCTCCTCCTAAAGTGTCATATATTACTGACAAGAGCTGATTTTCTTCATGCACATCTTGCCTTGTCTCTTCTGTTTTTAACGTTTGTGTCAATACCGAGTAAAACCCGTGAGCATTGAGCTGAACTAGCTTGTGTATTTCCGCTACGAGAGCTGCTGTTTGAGCAGGTTTGGGTTCAGAGTCTCTGATCATGTGAAATCTGCCTCCACATGCGTTGATCATTTCTCCAGCGATCCCTCTGGACGCTCCTGTCAAACGTTCCTGGTGATTTTGCTGCAGAAGAACAATGCAGTGCTGAAGAACTTCTGCTCCCAGCAGATCCTGGACTCGTTTCACAACATCACACTCTTCTGATTCTTGATCTTCCAGATTCAGGAGCATTAAAACGGCGTGAGGTCCAGGAGCCGAGAGAACCAGCGCTGTTGTGAAGCTCTGTCTCGCTGTGTCGTCCTCACAGAGGTTTGGTCCAGTGACCAGCATCATTCTACGACCCTCGTCTGTCATTACTGGAGTCTTTACAATCTCTCTGTCCTCCTGTCCACCGGCTTTCCTTCCTGACAGAATCTCTGCAGCGCTGAACCTGGAGTCGCCTCGCATTCCCACTATCAGGATCCTCACTTCATCATCATCATCATCATGAGAAGCTGAAAGAGAAAGTTAAAGATGAAAATATCAGAAAGTATTATTTCAAAATATATCACTGACTTACATTAGGCCTAAAAATTACCACCCTGAATGCATGGTGTCCACTACAGTGATAAGATTTATTTTCAGTTAGCGAAAGTAAACTACAACAAATGATAATTTAAACAAAATTATGCACAAGCCAGATTTTCTTTTTCAGAAAAGAGAGAGAAAGAGAGAGACACGTGTGATTTAATAATGCATGTATCAGAACAGTAAAGAGCAGATATACATTTACATGACATTATCATTTGAACATTACCTTTAACATGTATAGATGTGATGTGAAATGCAAGGATCAGTGTCAAGAGCAACTTTGGTTCTGTCCTGTTTAGTTTCATTTTTCAACCTGGAGAGTAAAGCCATTGTTAATCTGTGAATTTAAAATGTGATCTTACTATATAACCCAAACTATAAAGCACTTACAGTACGATCGCTTCATTTAAAAACACTGACAGTGAAGTTGAGTCCTGTTTGCTTGCTTTCACTTTTGATACTCGTGATTCACCAGGTATATTTAGCAGGGAGTCGTATGTCGACTCATAATGAGTAATGAATATAATGCAACCAAAGTCAAACAGCTTGGGAGAGATGAGTTTTGAAACAGCATTTTTACTGAGTTTATTATACAACACATATCAAAGCCATTATCAAAACCGAAAGCACGGGAAGAATAGACAAGTTTAATATACACACAAACCAACCAGAAAATTCATTTCACCCACGCGGCATATTTCCTAACCAATCATATTTCCTGTTTCAGCTCAAGGGGCGGGGCTTGAGAGTCGCTGTCAATCACTGGCGTCCAACCGAACTCTTGACTGTTGAACGCGCGTCAGAACAATACTGCGGTAACCTGCTAAAATATTACTGAAATACCTTTGTTTGACTATACATTTTGTCGTATTATGACTGGGGAACACCGTCACTTGCAATATTTTGCCAGTGTTGTCGTGTATTTTGTGATACATGTTTATAATCAGAACTAGTAGCGATGACGATTCGCTAATGAATGACTCTTTTGAGTCGGTTCTTTTTGAGTAGTAAAAGGATCTGTATGTTTGGTGATTCAATCTTAATCATTCGGATAGCTCACTCACGAACTGAATCATTTGTAACAGGTTCTCAACTGTTGAACAAAAATGGAATATTTACCTTATACAATCCATTACAATCCAAGCAGCGATGAAGGTAATTTTTTTATTAAGTTCAACGTCTACATGACTATGAATGACATTTACAGGTAAAGACATTTTCAAACCAAATAGTTTCAGTACATGAAAGCATTTAAAATACCATGACATTTTTTGGACATATAGGCCTACATCAATACCATGCTACCAGAATAATCAGGCGATCAATTATTACCAAACCACAGCATTGCCATTTCTGTATATTACTGCCACATAGTCTTTTTTAAAATAACTTTTTTTGCATAATGTCTTTGCTGGTGTTGTAAAATTATAACACATCACTATTATTAGCCATTTTATGGTCAATAGCTTCTTTCCTGTTATATTTACGAATGTAAAATATATATGTATTTGTTGTGTCTATATTATATAAACACAAACACACACACGTTGTCATTTTGTGTTGTTGTTGCTGTTGCTTCTCGAAATTAATAATCCTCCTACAAATAATGCTACATAAAACCAGTAAGAACTGACTAAGCTTTCTATAAGCACTTTGAGAAAACTCATCATCGGCCCTAAAATAAGAAAGACTGAACCAATGAGCACACAACCACATGGAAAAAACAGTGTAAGAAAAGTAAAACCGATCACTTTTTTTAGAGTTTCACTACTAAAAAGTTTCACATCTAATAGCCAATATGCCATTGTTAGCCCTGATAATAGCAGGATTATTGTCTGCTTCACACCAAGTAGAGCAAACACAGTCACAAACCCCATTGAAAGTGTCTCCCCAGTGGTACAACACAGAAATGACCCGAACACAAAGACTAGATATTCACGACTCTTCTTTTCATTGTGAAATATGAAAGCATAAGCCCCGGCTGCGACTCCAGGAGCCGCGTGACACGTGATGAGCACATCTGACCACGACCTGACGCTGATGATTGTCCCAAAGACCAGAGATGAACCCAGAACAAATGGTATGGACATTTCTGTATTTCTTATGAAATCCCCAATGATATTTACTATGATATCTCTGAAGTTTGAATCACTGATAATTCTGCTTAACTTAAACCCTTCGATTTCTCTGCGGTCTCTTGTAAATATTGTTGCTAGTGATGTCATCAAGGCCAAATTTAGCGGTATAGCAACATCTGGATTCAGAACATGTCTGAGATAGACCATAAACACCACAAGTACTGCAAATATTGCCCCAAAATTCAACATTTTGTCATTTCCTTCAGTGTAAACAACAAGAGCGGTAAATGAAACCAGGGAAATCCATCCTATGTGTCCAGCTGCTCCTCCTAAAGTGTCATATATTACTGACAAGAGCTGATTTTCTTTATTTACATTTTGACTGTCCTTTTCTGTAAGGATTGTCTCTATTTCTTGTAGTTTTTTCAAAAGCTCCAGCCTTTCTGAATGTAACTGTTGTTTCTCATTCAATCCCGAGTAAAACCCGTGAGCATTGAGCTGAACTAGCTTGTGTATTTCCGCTACGAGAGCTGCTGTTTGAGCAGGTTTGGGATCAGAGTCTCTGATCATGTGAAATCTGCCTCCACATGCGTTGATCATTTCTCCAGCGATCCCTCTGGACGCTCCTGTCAAACGTTCCTGGTGATTTTGCTGCAGAAGAACAATGCAGTGCTGAAGAACTTCTGCTCCCAGCAGATCCTGGACTCGTTTCACAACATCACACTCTTCTGATTCTTGATCTTCCAGATTCAGGAGCATTAAAACGGCGTGAGGTCCAGGAGCCGAGAGAACCAGCGCTGTTGTGAAGCTCTGTCTCGCTGTGTCGTCCTCACAGAGGTTTGGTCCAGTGACCAGCATCATTCTACGACCCTCGTCTGTCATTACTGGAGTCTTTACAATCTCTCTGTCCTCCTGTCCACCGGCTTTCCTTCCTGACAGAATCTCTGCAGCGCTGAACCTGGAGTCGCCTCGCATTCCCACTATCAGGATCCTCACTTCATCATCATCATCATCATGAGAAGCTGGAAGAGAAGTTAAAAATGAAAATATCAGAACGTATTATTTGAATTAAAGGTGAATGATCTACTAACTTTACAGTGGTTGGTCAAGTAAGCCATTTTTGGTTTGACCCTCTAATGCTTGTATTTGTGGTTAAAAGGACATATTTGCTTACCTACAAAATATCACTGACTTACAATAGCCCTACATTACAACCCTGATAGTCCGTGAGGCAAACCCCCTAATTTCAGAAATTTGTCTCATAAGAAGGCACCAATGCTACTCTTTTTTATTCACCAGAGGGATGTCCCTGGACCACAAAAATGCATGATAGCAATTCTTAGTGGGTAGCTTAAGGTAAAAAAATTGCCAATTTTATGTTTGACCCCCCAAACATTTGGCAAATTCCATTTAAGGTCGGTTATTTCTATAATTCATTATTTTTGGTACCAAAACATTCATACTTGGTGATATCTAGGTTGGAATTTTGTCGACATTTTAACTTGTTTAAAAAATATTGTTATTGTGATTATTTTTTTTGCAGAAAACATAGTGGTGTACAGCTTTAACTCATTGTTTTAAACTTAAGACCAGTCTGTAAATGCCTTCGTTTAACAGGTAAGAATGAATTTTGCAATGAGGGCGTGGCTATCAAACAAACGCTCTCTGGCTATTCAGCGACTCGCAAGCTCGTTTAGAGCGGGGACCAAGAGTCCCCACAGAACCTTTCTGAGGATGCTAGGCCTCATGGCCTCTGCTTCATAAATACGTCCACAGAGTATGCTACACATACTGCAGTACTGGCTAAAACCACAGGTTTCCCCCCAATCATGGCGCTAAAGCCATCTCTATATCAGGGTAAACCACGGCTGCACCAGAGCCCTGGTCGAAACCCAGTCTCTTGGAGTCAGGGGTGAGCTTGGACCAGCACGGAGGGACGGTTTCATATCAACTGCCTAGAATTTATGGTGGTTTTAAAACCTTTCTACCACGTTTGTCAGGTCACCATGTCCTGGTCCACACAGACAACACAACAGTAGTGTCCTATATAAACTCCCGGGGGGGGGTTGAGATGACTGTACGAACTGGCCAGAAGTCTCCTCTTATGGGCAGAAAACAACCTGCGCTCGCTGAGAGCAACGCATGTTCCACGGAAACTGAACCAGGAAGCAGATATGCTGTCCCGGGGCAATGTGTCCCCAGGGGAATGGACCCTCCATCCCCAAACAGTTCAAATTATCTGGAGTGTTTTCAGGAGGGCAGAGGGCAAATTCTTTGCCTCCAAAGACAACTCTCACTGCCCAATATTTTTCTCGAAAAGCAGGAATGCGCTGGCCCACGAATGGCCCAGCCTTCCCCTGTATGCCTTTCCTCCAGTCTTGCTCCTCCCTCAGGTCATAAAGAGGATCAGGGAGGGCAGACACTCAGTCCTACTAGTGGCCCCTCTCCGGCGGACCCAACCTTGGTTCCCCGAGTTGATTCTGCTGCTCACAGCAGCCCCATGGCCAATACCCATGAGGAAAGACCTAGGCGAACAGGAAGATTTGGAACCCCCCGTCCCAAACTATGGGCCCTCAATGTGTGGCCCCTCGACGGGAGCTAGTGGAGCTCCCAGCAAGTGTCCTGAGCACAATCAATGAGGCTAGAGCTCCATCCACAAAGACGCCTCTATGCTCTTAAGTAGTCTGTGTTCTCTGGCTGGTGCTCAGCAAGAAACCAGGACCCAAACCTATGTGAGGTGTCACTGATACTTTTCTCCAAACTCATTCAACCCTGTTTAAAGCACAAGTGATCACTCTCTCTGCACTTCCCACATCGGAAGATGAGCAGCAATTACACCTACTCTGCCCGGTACAGACGCTCCGCTCAGTACAAACAGTCAGAGCAGCTCTTTATCTCTTAAACCAGCAGCCATATCACCCTGTAGCCCAAGACTGGTTGCCCACTGAAGCTAAGCAGGGCTGAGCCTGGTTAGTACCTGGATGGGAGATCTCCTGAGAAAACCAGGTTGCTGCTGGAAGAGGTGTTAGTGAGGCCAGCAGGGGGCGCTCACCCTGTGGTCTGTGTGGGTCCTAACGCCCCAGTATAGTGACGGGGACACTATACTGTTAAAGAGCACCGTCCTTTGGATCAGACGTTAAACCGAGGTCATGACTCTCTGTGGTCATTAAAAATCCCAGGATGTCTTTCGAAAGAGTATGGGTGTAACCCCGGCATCCTGGCCAAATTTGCCCAGTGGCCTCTGTCCATCATGACCTCCTAATCATCCCCATATATATATACACTGATTGGCTTCATCACTCTGTCTCCTCTCCACCAGTAAGCTGGTGTGTGGTGGGCGTTCTGGCGCAATATGGCTGCCGTCACATCATCCAAGTGGATGCTGCATATTGGTGGTGGTTGAGGAGATTCCCGCTTCCATGTGAAGCGCTTTGAGTGCCTAGAAAAGCGCTATATAAATGTAATGAATTATTATTATTATTATTTATGAGCTTCGGTGGTCGCACAGTGCTTGATCATAAAGCAAAGATTATGCCGATGGCTGGTGGATGCTATGGCTTTAGTATATGCCTCTATGGGCCTACAATGCCCCATAGGCATCACAGCTCCCTCCACTAGAGGCATGGCCTCCTCCTGGGCATGGTCCAGTGGAGTATCTATTGGCGATATATGTATAGTGGCCGGCTGGTCCTCGCAGTCCATCTACGCCAGGTTTTATAACTTGGAAGTCCCTGCACTGCAGGCACATATCCTTTCTGTGTGATGAAGTCAGCCTCAGTGAGCCAGGCCCATCATAATTAGGGCTTTTGCCCGTTCAACACGTCATGCCAAAAGGCCCTTGCTTCGGACCCTTATGCAAGCATCCTGACATCAGAAGATGTCGTTGCTCCTATCATAGCACAGCGTGATTGGGTTGGTTCCCCATAGCGTATAGCTACGCAACACATATGACCGTTCGAAGGGAGATATATTGAACCATATTTGCACAAAATATTATTTTGTGTTAATATAATTCCAAAATTGTGTTATATTTTCCTTATTTTGTTGTATATTTTCTGTCCTAAAGAGCATATATATTTTATTTTATTTTTAATTTCACAGTGATATCTCATCATAAAAGAAAAGATCTAAAGCAATAGATATGTCAATATAACAGTTTATCAATGTTGAGATTTAGTTTGCATAATTAGAATTTTTCAGCACAATTAAATGTAAAATTGGTATTTTTCATACTTAAGGCTTAAGCTACCTACATGGCACTGCTATCATGCATTTTTGTGGTCAGGGGGCATGCCTGTTTTGAAAAATAACCATTAGAATTGGTGCCCTTTTTGATACCAATTTTCTCCCCGCCTCACGGACTATGAATGCATGGTGTCCACTAAAGTGGTCAGATTTATTTTCAGTTATCAAAAGTAAGCTACAAAATTCTGCACAAGACTGATTTTTTTTTTTTTCAGAAAAAGAGAGAGAGAGACACGTGTGATTTAATAATGCATCAGAACAGTAAAGAGCAGATATACATTTACATGACATTGTCATTTGTACATTACCTTCAACATGTATAGATGTGATGTGAAATGCAAGGATCAGTGTGAAGAGCCATTTCAGTTCTGTCCTGTTTAGTTTCATTTTTCAACCTGGAGAGTAAAGCGACCGTTAATCTGTGTTTTTAAAATGTGATCTTACGATAAAACCCAAACTATAAAGCACATACTTACAGTACGATCGCTTCATTTAACCGCACCGACAGTGAAGTTGAATCCTGTTTCTTTGCTTTCACTTTTGACATCTCACTTCCTATTTCCTGTAATCAAAGCAGTGTTTTGCTACTTCGATACTTTCGCAGTCAGAACTAGTTCTGTTTTGTCCTAGGATGTCCATCCTGAGGTGACTAGAGAGTATGTCAGTTCTTTTTCTATTGAAGAATTGTTTGTTGAATGGTCTTTTCAAGTATAAATTGTACATGTACGTATATGAATTTTACAGTGACATTGAGTGTATATAGATATGTCCCCTTTTAATAAATAACTTATTGGTTTTTCAGGTAGATTTCCATATATGTATATAAAAAAAGAAAAGGTCAAGTTTATTCTTCATTTCCAAGATCAAGGAGTCATCGCCACATTCTCTCAGCTGTGATCAAATCCCACCAACTTCTCAATTTAGCCTGTTTATTTATGAATTGAATGTGTGTAGCTTCTGTTATATTGTCAACATTTAGACATTTCACTTCAGCTAACCCAAAGGGCTGATCTTCAGTTACTTTAGTGTCAGGGCACCAAGGTACGGCACCACAGGGTGTATAACAAACCCAGTATGTGACACATCTACTCTACAAAAGTCACTGTACTGCTGTAAGACTTCTGGCTCGAGGTCAATATCCACTTTCATGGGAGATGTTATGGAAGCAGACTCAGGAGAGGAAGTTAACAGGATGTTTATTGACAATGAGCGGAATAGCAGTAAACGGGTACGTGAGAAGTTCAAAGATAATCTGGAGAGCGGGATATTATATGTAACGAATTATTATTATTATTATTATATTGGCGGTGATTGTAATGTTCCTTCTTACAGGGGGTGAAGAGATGGATGACAGCTGATGCACACAGACGTGGAGAAAGTACACAACTTCCGGTAACACTTTATATTACGACCCGCAAACAACTGCGTAAGTAAACCGAAATTACGGTGTATTAGGCGGTGGGCCGGACCTCGAAATTACGAATTTAATACTTACCTCACAGCTGTGTAAGTCTTTTTTTGCTGAGGTCATGTAATAAAATCGTATAAGTACTACAGACATTGTTTCCAACTTTGTTGTTTGCACATTTGACGCAAAATGTCCTTACAAATTCTTACTTTTTTAAACCGGCAAATAAGCAGGAGTACTAATCATAACGTTAGAAAACCTCCCGTTTCCTTGACAACCAATGTAAATAATGAACACAGATGACCAGGAAGCTGCGTTCTTGAAATTACAATTTTGCTGTAAATCATTAAACATTTAATTTTAGTTCTGTAGTTCAGTAATACTGAGGTAAAAATGAGGTGTTTTATCCATTTAGCCTCAAATGTAAAAAGCCCTGTAACCCCCTTTTCCCAGACAAGTTGGGCAAAGTTTGTTCAATGTACACATTTATGGGTGAACCTGCAAACCACAGAGAGTACAGTAGCTGAAAAGGCCGTATTGGCATTTAACTTAAATTCCGAAGACGTCCAAGATGTGCCGGCTAATGTTGGATTTCATAGAGAATGCTACATGCGCTTCACCAACAAAGAACACATAAGAAGAGCACGTAAGAAGATAGAAAAGGCAGCTAACAAAAGTGAAGGTTTGTATCAAATGTATAATTTTTATATAAAATAAATACAACTTCAAGACAGTAGTGTGAAAGTAGTTGTCCAGCTGGAAATCCGATTAAATTTGAGCAAGCAGTGGCTGCTCTGTGTAATTTATACCCCTAGCTGCGCCAGAAACGCCTCCTATTCCCACAACGTCACACAGCCAATCAGAATTAAGGTTTCTACCCCAATTTGGTTTATGGCCTGGACTCTGGGCTATTCCGAAATGTTATCTATCTAGTATATCAGTTATTCATTAACATTGACATACTGACTGCAAGTACACTGTATTATAGTAGGGATAGGCATTTAAAGAAAAAATAATATTCGATGATCGCTGGGTAGGCTATTACTCGAAAATCGCACCCCTCCACCACACGCACACACCAGAGCATATGAGTAAAGCGGAGCGGTGTGACGCTTAAATATAAGTTAAAAAACTTAAACATACGTTTCATTTATATACGTTTAACCCCTTACTAGTCAGACCCATTTTTGGCAAGTGCTGCATAAATGACATACCCAAAATAAAAAGGTTGCTGCTCAGAAGTCATTCTGAATAGACACATAACCAACATATATTTAGAAAGCCAACCCTTGAGAATTTACATTTCAAGACTCAAAATTAACCAGACTGTTATTAATATTGAGATATATAAGCTCAAACATAGAAACAAAACCAACAAATATTAAGAATATATTTATAAAATGTATAAAAATATTATGTGAATTTAGGATTGCAACTTATAACCACAACTAAAACATGGGGATATTTTAAAGACAATCATCCCGCACATCCTATTCAATATTCTATAATAAAATCAACTAATCAAATATTCGAAAATCGTGACTCATCCCTAATTAATATAGTATTTCAGTGCAAGTGGATGACATGACAAGTAGTACAATATATGTGTAAGTGGGGTCAAATGTTCATAGCAAATTTAAAAATAAAAAAAATAAACCAATGTAGCAGCATCATAGTGTAAACTACCAGTGTATTTGTGCAAGAGTCAATCAGTTGCCCTTAGGTTATTGGAGGGTGGGGGTGGAAGGAAGAGGCTCTCTATGATTCCCCAATAGAAAGTTAAGAGGATGGATTTTTGGGAGATGAGCCTTCCTCAACTGTGGGAGGAAGTGCAGAGGTTTTTGGACTTTCTTGGCCAGGTTCTGTTGGTGGTGTCGATAGATCAAGATGGGTCATCTGTGATGTGGATACTAGCAACTCCGTGATCTTGACCTGCTCCATCATGGTGCTGTTGATGTGATGAATGTCAACGATCACCTCTGTAGTCATTTGGGTGTGGAGAGATATGATGTTGTCCTGTCGGTGTGTTAGATAAACAACTGAATTATATTCCGATAAATAAACACAGAAAGCACACATTACTAGATAATTTTAAATCACATTTTTCATCTTGACATTTGTATTAAGATGCTAACCATCTTAAACGAGCTTGACAAGACTACTGCAGTTCTGACCACAAATAATTTTGTTAAATAGCTCAAAAACAGCCATCTTTAAATAAAATATTTTTCCACCATATTCCATCTTATACCTGTTCTGTTATGTAGGTGAAGCCCAACCACTGACAGATGTAGCTGAACCACTGCCGTTCAATGATGAGAGTGTCTCCAAGGTCCGGATTCTGCGCTCTGCATTGGATGATGGCCCCGAACAAAGGAGAGCATCTCATCTACTCCCAGCTAGATGCCTAATATGCAGGAAGAATCAGTATGTTATTGACAGTCACAGAAAAAGGAAAAAAGAAAAGCTTTCAAAATGTGAGACACTGACAGCAGGTAACTTGCTTTTTGCGGCAGAGGACAAGATGGATGAGAGGGTTCTCATCCATATCCGTGGGAGAGACCTTGTTGCCTCAGAGGCCATGTATCATCAAAGCTGTTACAAACGCTACACATCTTATCTTTATAAAAAACACACTCAAGGTTCTGAAGACAACCCATATCAGGCAGGCTACGACCATTTCTGTCAGTCAGTGGTGGAAGAGAGGCTATTGAAGAAGCGCGAAGTTCTCAGGCTGTCCCGGCTAAATGAGCTTTTCAAGGCAATAGTTAAGGAAAGAGAGGGCACTGACATTTCAGCATACACAGTCTGTCGTTTAAAGGCTAGGCTTCAAAAGTCACATCCTTGCCTAAAGTTTTTGAAGTCATCAAAAAATTATTTAGTGTTTGTTGAAGACTTGTGTGCTGAGGAGATTATCCCTGATGTAGCAACACAGCAGTCATCATCATCAGACCAAAGTGATGACGACAATGAGGATGACACTGAGCCAAGCCGGGTTATGAAGGGGCAGACTTATGAGAGACTTCTGTATCATGCAGCCATGTCTCTCAAGGAGATCATACAGGAAAAATGCAAATGTACAGCTAAACTGCCATGGCCACCAACAGCCCAAGACCTAAACATTGATACTGCCTTGAGAATGATACCACCCCAGTTGTACAATGTTATTGCTTGGATAACAGGTACAACTTCAGAGTTTCAATCCGGTGTTCAGCATGTCAGTGTTGGTGTGGATGAGAAGCAGAAGATTGGGTCAATGTGCCAGGACATAATGAATCTTGCCATGAGAGGAAGGTGGCTCATGCCAAAGCATACTGCGCTAGCCATGGCGGTTAGGCATATGACTGGCTCAGCACAGGTAATTGGGATTTTGAATGGTCTTGGGCACTGTAGCTCACACTCCCAAGTGCTTGAACATGACACTGCTCTCGCAGAGCTGCAGCTTGAAAGAGGTGATACATACATCCCACCAAGCATTGTACCTGAAATCTCTGCAACCCTTGTTTGGGACAACAATGACTTTGGTGAGGAAACGCTGTCAGGAAAGGGCACAACGCATAACACCAACGGCATCATAATTCAGAAGCCCACCTCCAGTGATGTACTTACCTCAGAATTTGTATCGCTGCAGAAAAGCAGGAAAAGGTCCCTTAAAACTCCTCCTATCCAAATTGACATCTTTACAAGAGGAAAAAGGGCCGGTCCAGAATGTTTTAGGTCTAGAATTGAAGTTGGATGTGAGATCTGCATTCCTGTGCAGGCAACAGCAAGGACAATGGACAGTGCTTACTTCTTCATGAAGACCCAAGAAGTCCAAAGAAGTGTTCTTCCTGGATGGACTGGCTACAATACACTGCTGCAGAGAGGTGCAATTCCACCACAATCAAACATCGGTTACCTGCCTGTCATTGATGCCAGTCCAACCGACTTAAACACGGTGCACACTATCCTTACGCGTTCCATAGCTATAGCAGACAAACTAAAGCTGAGCGAAATTGTGTTAGTAATGGATCAGGCCATATACTCGAAAGCCCAAGAGATTCGTTGGACAAACAAAACATTTCAGGAACGTCTCGTCCTTCGAATGGGGGAATTTCACACAGCCATGGCGTACCTGGCCTGTATTGGGAAGCGATTTGGGGATGCAGGATTTCAGGATGTCATGATAGAAGCTGAAGTTGTTGCTGCAGGATCTGTGGAGGGAGTCATATCTGGACATCAATACAATCGAAGCATGCGTGTACACAAGTTAATGTGTGAAGCCCTACAGAGACTTCGCTGGCAGGCATACCTGGACATTCTTCCAGAAGATGGACGTGAAGCTGCTGTCAAGACTGCTGTTGGTCTGCAGACAGCTTTCCCTGGTGAAGAATTTGATGATCTGGTAATGTCTGAGAACTTTCAAAAAGTAATGAAAGGGTATGAAGATTTCATTAAAGACAACACCACCAACAAGACATTCCACTTTTGGTGCACATACATTGCAATGGTAGAAGATCTTCTCCTCTTCATCAGAGGAACACGAGAGGCAAACTGGAGTCTCCACCTATCAAGTGTGCGTTCCATTATGCCATGGTTCTTCTGTTATGACAGGATCAACTATGCCCGCTACCTGTCAACGTACTGGATGGAAATGGTCAGTTTAGGGTACACTCATCCAAACATAAACCACCAGCTCCAATCCGGGGATTTTGTCGCCCAAAGACAGCAAACATATGGCTTTGCTTACACCGCATGTGATCAAGTCATCGAACAAACAGCAAACCGTGACTCCAAAACTAAAGGTGGACTGACTGGGTTTTAACTTAACAAAGGTGCGGTTCATAGATGGACACTCACACATCATGAACGTGCAGCTATCAGTATGGAGTGCAAAGACATGGCCGGGCACAGCCCCACAACAAAACAACGAGCTGAACTTGATGACACGCGCAGAGAACGTGATGAGAGGGATGTAAAAAACATCATATCCACCATTCAGAACATGATAAATCCATTTGATCCTTCCATTGATCGAGAGGTCCTTTACCATATAACATCTGGACATGTTGCATCAGAGTTGATTTTTAATGATTTGAATGAAGCAAAAGAGAGAGGAGAGAAAGCCTTCTTAGAATTATGCGAAAAGAGGCTTCAAAGTAATGAGGTATGCATTTATCAGCCCATAAAAAAAATGAAGCTCAAGACCTTCAAAGACACTGCAACTACAACAGTGACAAAAGCAAAAGGTAGAGAGATATCCCTAAAAGCAGACTGTGATCTTTTTGCCAGATTAATTGTAGTTGGGACCTCAAGAAAAATTGACATGAGTGAGATGCTTGTACATAGTTTAGGGCCCTTACCTGCCGCACTAGCTCATTTTGATGGCTCTCTGATGAAAACGGACAAAGCAAAGCTGTTGCATTTCCTGGAAGCTGTTGTAAACCCACCAGCAACAGTGGACAACGTTCCTGAAGGCTCCACGTGGGTGTGGGATGCTATGGCACTTGTACAAGCGATGAAACCCCAACCAACTTTCGGGATGTTTGCTGACGGTGCTCTCAGGCTGATTGTCAGTGTGGCCAAAGCTAGCAAGTCCAAAGTAATCCATTTTGTACCAGACACCTACAAAGTCATTAGCATCAAGAATGCAGAACGAGACCGACGTGCAGTGAAGGGTTGTCAAATTACCAAAATATATTCTGAAAACCAAAGGACACCAAAGCAATGGGCAAAGTTCTTGGCATGTGGGGAAAATAAGGAAAATCTCCTACAATTTTTCTTTGATAGATGGTGTACATCTGGAGGGCACATGATTGAGGACCTGACTGTGATCGTTGCACATGGAGGAGAGTGCCATGCTCTTAAAAAAAACCCAGATACAACTGATTTGGAAGCCTTGCCAATGCCAGCGCTGTTCACGACACAGGAAGAAGCGGACACCAGACTACTGCTACACTGTGCTCATGCTGCCGATTATAGCAGGCATATTATTATCAGAAGTCCTGACACTGATGTGTTTGTACTGGCCCTCGCTTTCTACAAAGACATCGGAGCTCACCTGTATTTCCAGACGGGGAAAGGAGGAAATTCTCGCACAGTCGAAGTCCAGAAGATCCATGACCAGCTGGGAGCGATAGTCTGCGATGCGCTGATTGGTCTTCACTGTTTCACTGGTTGTGACACTGTCAGCTCCCTGTATGGCATAGGAAAGGTGAAGGCAGTGAAGGCACTCCTATCCAATCAAGAGCACTGCAACACATTCCAGAGAATAGGCAGAACTTTCACTGTGACCCCAGACCTCTATGAAGCAGTGGAGGCCTTCACATGCGAGCTATATGATGTAAAAGATGTCAAAAGTGTCAACCAGGCAAGGTGGCACATGTTTAAGTCTGGGAAATGTCTCGAAAGGAGCCTTCCTCCAAATCAAGACTCCCTTCAGCAGCACATTCAGCGTGCCAACTACCAGGCTGCAATACACAGGTACATGACCAAGAAACAGAAAAAGAATAAATGGTTTACAGCTAATATGTCATTCTAAAGATAACAAAATTAGAAACATAAAGATAATAAACAAAATAGAAACATAAAACTGATACAGTAGGTTAATAGGCCAAAGTAATGTTTTCATATTTTTCATTCTACAGGAGAAGTCTACAAAAACAACCTGACATACCCCCGCCGGTACAGCATGGATGGAGGATGGAGGGAGAATACCTGGTAGTGCACTGGATGACACTGCCCCCAGCACCACAGAGTGTCTTAGAGCTGGTGCACTGCCAATGCAAAACCCTTAAATGTGTGGGAGGGAACTGCACTTGCAAAAAGCATAAGCTACCATGCACAGAATTGTGTCATTGTATAAACTGTGACAATCAACCATAAATGGCTTATAACTCCATGACTACCACTATAAAGTTGATTTGAAATCATTTCTTTGTTTTTGCTTTGCACTCTTTTTTAGCTGATAATTAGTCTAGCTTACTTGTAGCCTAGGTAGCTTGCTGTAACCAATCCAACCTGGACATAAGTTAGCTACCTGTCAAATTATTTCCTGCTGTCTTCCCGTTTAAATATTTTCCCCTAATTATCCCGTATTTGAATACTCTTTGCTTAGTTCATTGTGTATGTACCGAATGATTATTTTGGATTAGCCTACGCAACATACCGTTAGACCTAGCTTTAACTTTACTGCTCCACTACCAACAATCTTTCGTGGCTACTGGCTACTGTTCTCATCAACGACAACGCATATATTCACGACGAAGTATAGCTTGCAGTCTTAAATACAACTTATATGAAAAGCATTAAGATATAGGGGTGTATAATCATAAAACAAATCTTACCTTGACGTTGTCTTGCCGAGACACACCGGTCTCTCCAGGTGGGTTGTAGACTCACTGACTCGAGTCACGCGAAGCCGGTTCAACGAATAACGTGATTGGCCAAATCAATTCAACAAGGTAACAACACAAGCGTTGATTGGATCTCCCTCCGGCCAACGTTTGTTATCAGCTAGCGAAATTAAATCTATTTTTATACTTTAATGTGCAACAATTGGCGTTGGAAACAATCGGTAATCTTTTTGTGAATTATTCATACAGACAAATAAAAAAAATGAGCCACACAGCTGCTGGGTAACAATCAAATCAAAAACTAAACGAGATAGACGGACTTGGCCCACCGCCTATATGTGTCTGTAATTATAGTGTACTTCTGTGTAGGTATAAGGGAACAATATATTAAGTTTTGGGTAATAAAGGGGTACAACCAGATATACAAGCAAATTATTTATAATGTAATTATTTTAAAACTAACAGGTACCTATTCTGTTGGCTATTTCAGGCAAAAATTGTACGTCTGTTGCATAGACTGTAAAAAAAGATGGACGACGCCCCTTCGCTCTTTTCCATTGGAGAGAACTGAAGCCGCCAGTGTCCCGATATGGCGCTGACATATTGGAATTTGAGTTTGCGCAGTAGCGTTTTCGGGAGCAGTCATGCGCAGTCGTGAGCAGGAAGCATAGACAGTATAAGAAGTGGACAGAGCCATCTCATTGGAACTCAGTTGAGACAGTTGAAGCCCATTTTTAGTGATTTCTGAGCACTTCCGTTCCTGACGCGCAGACTCAAACCGACTCAAACTAAGCTTGATGACGTGAGCAACCTGTCTGACAGACGTTAATCTTCTAGTAGCTGTGCGTGAAAATTGCCAACGTTAATCTTGCAGAGACGGGGAACTTGAGCAAAGAGTTCTTTGGCGTGAGTGAGCAGGAGTAAGTATTCCGTTGCTTTTATGGACTCATTATCTATAGGCTTCTCCCTTGACGGGACGTCCCCCCGATTGCCTGCGAGCTTCTCCTCCTGTCTGTACGGTCATTTCTGTACAGCGCGACAGAGAGTCGAGTGGTTATGACGCAATCGTTAGCCTATTTTTACTAAATCTGTTTCTACGGGGCCATAATGTAACATAGAAGGTAATGGAGCCCTTTATACATTGTCGTGTTTCTTTAGAAATAAATAATGGACAAATGGAGTCTTTAAACGCCTCCGATGTAAAGTTATTCGCTGTCAAAGTGACGCCAAAATGAATGGGAGTCAATGGAAATGCTAACGCAAGTGAAGTTCTGCTACAACATGGCGACACCCGGCCGGCTTCAACTTCCGGTCGATGGATTACCCCCTTGGCAGGAAGTAAAGCCGCGAAATCAAGGCCCCGCCCCCACTCTCGCTGAATCAATCGTAAGCACACGCCCCGCACTTTTCTTAAGTGCCCTTATCTGCTCCGTTCCTCTCCAATGATGTCTGCTGATTGCAGTACCTCGTTAAAATAAGGTAAATACAACTACTAACCACCTAGTCAACATTATGAAAAAAATTCCGTTGGTGCTTCAGTGACTACTTCACACAGAGAAGCTGTCAATCATGATGTCACAGCACCGTTTTTATAGCATCAAATAACTAACTAAAAACAAACTTATTTTAAAAACAAACACTTAAAATTACATCAACGCGATAGAAACTACAGTAAATGACAGAAACTATCTTTAGAAAAAAGATATGTGAAGTGTAATTTAATTCGCCTTTGGCTAGGCCCCGCCCCCCTTAGTTACTGTTGCTACGTCCGACAAACAAACTTCATCTGGGCTCTGGTATCAACATGGCTTATGCTGTGACAGCTCTTCCTGCTGAAATTTTATCAAACTTTTATAAAGCAGCAAATAAAGTGTCCGATAGAAGTAGTCAAAAGGGGCTGCGATATACGTTTGAAGGCATACGTTCATGACATACAGGTGAAACGCAAGGAACAACAAGGCATCCAAAATAGAGGCAATGCATACCGGTCACAGTCAAAAAATGAACCACCGCATATCGTACTAATCGAGACGGAGGCTGGGACTAACAATATCAAGGAGCAACACTGTTCATGCAAAGCTGGGTAGGTCTCTATTCACTTCTATAATCGTTATTACAAAGCAAACGGACTACGCGAGTATAACGTTGTATTTATTAGCAGCGTGTGCTAGACGACACTTTTAGTTGTCAGGATTTGACTTCGGTTTTGGGAAGGGAAAAAAACGCACACCCCCCTCCAACCTCTCTGGGAAACGCGTATCTGTGTTACAAATGCCCCAGGCACAACGTTTAACCATATTTTTGATAAAACTACGACGGTAATAGCCTGCCGAGACCAAAAATATGAGACGGCTGTGTTAAAGTCAATGGAGCGCTGTGAAAAAGTGTCGGACCTCTGTGGGAGCTCGTTCTTGGCTGCGCTGTGATTGGTCAATCTACATTCTAGGGTGTGGCTTAGCCAAAGGCGAATTGTTTAGTTGGTCTCATGTCCCGTTGAATAACATGGGAAGGCGGGGTTTATGACCTATACTAGGACCGGTCACCGGGGGGCGATCGAGACGTTTTGGCTTCACTTTTGAGGGCGTGTGCGGCACGCTTGGTCTGTTGTATATACAAGTTATCATCACATTTCTGGCAAAATATATTCTTGTGCAATGTAGTTACAGGGTAATTTTGACATCTGTGGGTTGTAAATTAAACGTAGCCTATATAAATAATTTGCTTGTATATCTGGTTGTACCCCTTATTAATTTCGGTTTACTTACGCAGTTGTTTGCGGGTCGTAATATTAAGTTTTACCCAACTTCCTTACTTGAATGAAAGTACAGATACTACTGGTCAAATATTGCTCCGTTACAAGTAAAAGTTGTAAAGACCGATTTTTACTTAAGTAAAAGTACAGAAGTACTCGTTAAGTACTCAAGTATCAAAAGTAAACGGTAAATGTCAATACATTGTTTTATTATTATTGCATTGTTGTATGTAATTCTTACAGTGCCGTATGCGTCTGAATCTATGCTTGCCCTCATATCAATATCACATTATTTCTAGAACACAGTTCCAGTAGTGGGATTGAATGTGAGATTGGATGAGTGTGACTCAATGACGTCCACAATGGTTTCGGACACACAAATGGCTGTTTCCACAAATATTGCCCTATTTAAAAAAAAAAAGCCTTTTAGTATGAATATGTTAGCCTTACTGTTATCTATAAGCCAGTGTGCTCCAAAACAATGACAAAATTCACATTTAGAAGACCAAACCCAACGGTGAAAATGAAAATCAGGTTGACGTCAGAAACCAACATCAGTCAAGTTCTGACGTCAAACCGACTTTCCTTTTTACACACACACACACACACACACACACACACACACACACACACACACACACACACACACACACACACACACACACACACACACACACACACACACACACACACACACACACACTACTTTCTACTCAATGACCTTGACAGAAATGTGTGTAAAAAGTACAATATTTGTCTTTCAAATTGTAGTGAAGTCCAAGTAAAACGTTTCCAGAAAAAAATAATACTAAAGTAAAGTACAGTACTCAAGTAAATGTACTTTTTTACTGTCCACCTCTGGAACAGAGAGACACAGGAACGATGGAGCAGCTTTTCACATGCATATATATATATATGTATATCACTCATATGTGTGTGAGATAGACCAAAAAACAATACAAGTAGCCTACAGCTAATTTTGCCCCAGAATTCAAATATTTGTGCCTCGCTTTAGTGTAAACTACAACATCACACTCTTCTGATTCTTGATCTTCCAGATTCAAGACAATTAAAATGGCGTGAGGAGTAGGAGACGAGAGATTCCCACACTCGAAGGATTCTCACAATCAGGATTCTTACATCATCATCTTGAGAAGCTGGACGGGAAAGGTAAAAAATTCAAATATCGGGGTTAATCATAAAAATGTTTGGATGTGACTTTAAGGTTTTTTTTTTTTTTATGAAAAGAACGTTCATGGTCTTAATGCCATTATCTTGGATTTAATTCCCAGAGAACACACAAACTGCGTGAATGCGTAATGTGTGAAGTCGTGGATGTGCAAAACGAGTATTTGTGGTTAAAAGTCTATAAATGTTAATTTAATGGTTTGGCTAGATAAGACTCTTGTTCCTCGGCTGGGATCATGTAAAGCCTTTGAAACTGCAATTTGGACCTTCAACCCATTGGACCCCATTGTAGTCACTGGAGAAAAATCCTGGAATGTTAAATCCTTAATTTCTTTTCGACTGAAGAAATACATGAATATCTTGGATGTTGTGGGGGTGAGTAAATTATCATTCTGAAGTGAACTAATGCTTTAATCTGATTGTTTGTCACATTGAATATGTGTATCTAACAGCATACATTTAAATAGTTATATAAACTATAAATTAAGTTAGAATTAAGTTTATTATTAACTTAATTTAAACTTAATTCGAGGAAAATTAATAAAAATCACCAAACAACATAGAGGTAAGCAGATACTAACCATCTGAAGATATCATTATGAAAAGCAAGAATTGATATAAGGAGCCATTTTTGGTTTTGTCGTGGTTAATTTCATTTTGTAACTCGAGGTCTGTTTCACAAAGCAAGTTGAGCTAAAATCTTTCCATCGTTTCACAATTCTGTCAATTCTGTGTTTGATATTCAGGTTTGTGACTAAACTCTGAATTGTATTCACATGAAGGTGTGATGTTTAAAGAGAACAGCCAATCGAGATGGTCAAACAATTCACACAAAATGTTGGGTTGTTTTAACCCAATTTTGGGTAAAATATGGACAAATCCAAACATTGGGTTAAAAATGTAACCCAAGATATTTTGAAAAAACATGAAGGATTTAATGTACTCCACACATGAAGGAATATGAGACAACTGTTTGAAAGAAAATATCTTGAATATATAAAGGCACTATAGTCGATAGTTTGTATAACTCCACAACAAACTTAAACTTGTAATCCTAGTAATTTCAAAGGCTTAATATTCAAATATTATATACAATTTTTTAAAGCTTATTTATATAAAAGAAAATCTGAAGCTTATTAGTTGCTAAAATGTAGACTATATATTTGATTAAAAACGCATAATACAAAGCAATATTTTCAGATGTTTAATAGAAGTTTTGATCCAGAGCTTTAGCAACAATTATAATTTAGTCACTATTTGTGAATTCAACTGATGCAGTCAGCTTTCTCCAAATTACTATTAACAGTAATACATAAAGAACTGACAAAGCTTTCAGCAAGTACTTTGAGAACTCATCATCAGCCCTAAAATAAGAAAGACTGAACCAATGAGCACACAACCACATGGAAAAAACAGTGTAAAAACAGTAAAAGTGATCACGTCCTCTAGAGTTTCACTCTTTAAATCCCAATATGCCATTGTAAGCCCTGATATTAGCAGCATTATTGTCATCTTCACACCAAGTAGAGCAAACACAGTCACAAACCCCATTGAAAGTGTTGCCCCAATGGTACAACACAGAAATGACCCGAACACAAAGACTGGAGATTCATGACTCGTCATTTCACTGTGAAATATGAATGCATAAGCCCCGACTGTGACTCCAGGAGCCGCGTGACACGCGATGAGCACATCTGACCACGACCTGACGCTGATGATTGTCCCAAAGACCAGAGATGAACCCAGAATAAATGCTATTGCTAAACACATAAGTATTGGAATAATAAAAATATTTGCTATCAAATTCTTAATGGTATTGTCGAAGATTGGATAGCTGCCATCTGCTATTTCTCTGTCTCTAGTAAATATTATTGCTAGTGATGTTATGAAGGCCAAATTTAGCGGTATAGCAACATCTGGACTCAGAACATGTCTGAGATAGACCATAAACCCCACAAGCGCTGCAAATATTGCCCCAAAATTCAACATTTTGTCATTTCCTTCAGTGTAAACAAGAGCTGTAAATGAAACAAGGGAAATCCATCCTATGTGTCCAGCTGCTCCTCCAGTCTCGTTGAGTGTCCGCTTTTGAAACCAGACTGATTGTTGTCCAAGAGGTTGTTCTGTGTAAGAAAGGAAGAGATCTGGTTGAAAACAACTCGTTCAAGTGTTTTTGCGACGAATGGAAGGGAAACCAGTCTGTAATTCTCCAGATGTGCTAGATTTAGAGTGGGTTTCTTAAGCAGTGGGGTTACCCAAGCCTGCTTAAAAGCTGTGGGAAAGGTACCAGTGTGAAGAGAGGCGTTTATGATGTGCGTGAGTGCGGGTACAACTGAGGAAGAAATGGCTTGAAGTAGGTTAGTGGAAATTGGATCAAGCGGAAAGGAGTTTGGAGACTTCTGCCTCTGAAAGTAGAGAGAAGGAGGGTAGAATGTGTGTGTTAGCTGGTGAAAAGTGTGTCAGTTTGTGGATTGGTAAACTGGCCACTGATGGTGGTTTTATTTATGAAGAATGTGGCAAAATCATCAGCTGTTAGGGTTGATGGAGGAGGGTTGAGAAGAGAGTTCAGTCTGGTTTTAAATCTCGTCACAGTACGGAATCTGCACTTTTAAGAGTCATGAATGATATATTGCTGACCACTGATACCGGGCAATCTGTGGCTTTGGTCTTGTTAGATCTTAGCTCTGCTTTTGACCTGGTCGATCACAATATTTTAATTCCTCGTCTTGAAGCGTGCATGGGTTTTCGGGGTACGGTGCTACAATGGTTCCGCTCGTACTTATCTAATAGGACTTACTCTGTCCGTATTGGGCAACAGTGTTCTTCCGAAATGAAACTGGGGTCTGGCGTTCCTCAGGGTTCTATTCTTGGCCCGGAACGGTTTAATCTATACATGCTCCCCTTGGGTTCAATTTTATCTAGACATGGGGTTTCTTTCCATCTGTATGCCGATGACACTCAAATGTACTTGCCTTTGAAGCGGGATGACAAGCTTGCTTTAAAGCCAATATTGGACTGTCTGGATGAACTGAAACTCTGGCTTTCTAGTAACTTCTTGAGTCTCAGTGAGAGCAAAACTGAAATTATCTTGTTTGGGCCCCAATGATCGTAGTACTCATGATTTTGATCTACAAACCTTGTTACCATATAGCACCACCTGTGTTCGGAATTTGGGGGTCTGGTTTGATAACAACCTTAAATTTGATAAGCAGATAAGTGCTGTGGTTAAGTCCTGTTTCTTTCACCTCCGTCTTTTAGCCAAGGTTAAGCCCTTCTTGTCTGCTAAGCACTTTGAGATCGCCATACATGCATTTGTAACATCCAGATTGGACTATTGTAATTCTTTATATATTGGTGCCCCTCAGAAATGCATCACTCGCTTACAATTAGTCCAAAATGCAACTGCACGCCTTCTCAAAGACAAGCGTAAATTTGAACACATTACACCAGTGCTGATCTCGCTTCACTGGCTCCCTGTTAAATTCAGAATTGATTTTAAAGTTCTCTTAAGCCTAGTTCACACTACATGATTTTAAAACGTCGGGCTGAACTGTGCGGTTCACACTACATGACTTGCTCTCTGTGAAATCAGGAGTGTTCAAGTTGTTGAGCTAGCTCACACCACACGACACAACGTGATTGATCCGCAACAGGAGGTAACGCACTACACGAGTTGACAACAACTCTGTCACCCTACGATTCTATGTTGTCTACAATCCACCTTTTGTCACGAAAAATCACGCGATAAAACGAAACCGGAAATGACGCGAAACAGCACGCGCGCCAATACCCAGCGAAGACGACAAAGAAGAACACAACACGCGAGCATGCCTTGCTCTGATTGGCTGTAGCTCATGACATCACGTGAGCTTGAGTCGTGCGACAGCTCTGGATATCTAGCATGCTAGATATTTTTCTGGGCTCGGCGAGGCGTCTGCGAGCGTCTTTGATGCGTCGTTGGCTCTTTCATACTAACAGATTGGCGAGCGTTCATCGCCCGCTAATCTCCCGCGATTTGCACGCGATAACACCCTGACCTGTCGGCGAGCTCAACGAGCAATCGGGCTTAAATCGGGCTTAAAAACATGTAGTGTGAACTAGGCTTTATTTGTTTTTAAGTCATTACAGAATTAGTCTCCACAGTACCTATCTGAATTACTTCGCCCAATCACACAGTCAAGATCACTCAGATCGGGGAACTCTAACTTACTATCTGTCCCTCGAACCAGACTAAAAAATAGGGGTGATCGCGCCTTTGCAGCCTTCGGACCTAGGCTATGGAATAGCTTACCGGCTCACATCAGATCTGCCCAAACTCTGTCAATTTTTAAATCTTCTTTGAAAACTCATTTCTTTTCAATAGCTTTTAATATATCTTGATGTGTGTGTCTTTACATTGTACTTGTATTGTATGTATTTTGGCCTTGTTAAGCACTTTGGTCAACGTCAGTTATGTTTTTAAATGTGCTATACAAATAAAATTGTATTGTATTGTATTGTAAGAGAGGGTTTTGAAAAGCATGCGAGAGTCAGAAGATTTGATAATTTTGTTGTGATAGTCATTTTAACAGTAGAGATATCAGCAGAGAAGAAAGAGAGGAGGGATTGATAAAGACCAAGGTCAGTAAGATCTTTCGATTTGCGCCACTTCCTCTCTGCACCCCTGAATTTAGAACGATGTTCGCAGAGAACATCAGATAACCAGGGGGCAGAGGGGGTGTGGTGCGAGCTGGCCTGGAGGAAAGGGGGCAGAAGTTGTCCAATCAGGATGTTAAAGTGAAGAAAAGAGTATCAGTTGCACTGTTAGTATCTAGTGTTGAGAGCTGATCAGGTGGAGGAAGTGTGGATGAGACCAAAGAGGATAGGCGAGAGTGAGCGTAGGTTCTGCCGAAAGGTGACCCGTGGAGGAGTGTGTGTTGTGTAGCAGGTTGAGGTTGAGAGTGAGGCGAAAATGACCTGAGGTGTGCAGTGGAGTGACCAGTGTATGGTCAGTGGAGCAGTAGAGCGTGCATAAATAAGGTCCAATCGGTTACCTGATTTGTGAGAAGCCGCAGTGAATGCTCGTTTAAGGTCAAATGAGGCAAGCAGAGTGTGGAAATCAGCAGCCTGAGATTTTTCTCGGTGGATGTTGAAGTCTCCAAGAACTATGAGAGGAGTACCATCCTCAGGGAAGGATGAGAGTAGCACATCAAGCTCCTCCAAGAAACTGCCACGCTGACCTGGGGGACGATAAACAACTACAAAATTGATTTTAATAGGACTAGTGATGGTAATTGAATGTGATTCAAATGAGCTGTTGTCACACAGAGGTGGTAAAGGATAACATTTCCAATCGTTTGAGATGAGCAGACCAGTACAGAAAGTAAAGTTAGTGGAGAGGGCCGCAGATGTGGCAGTGTCCTCTGGTCTGATCCAGGTCTCAGTCAGGGCCAATAGGCTGAGACCTGAATGACTAGAAATAGATGTAATGAAATCAGCATTTGTTTACAGCTGACTAGCAGTTCCAGAGACCAAAAGGAAAAGATAATAAAGTACTAGAAGACACCGGAAAGGTACGCAGGTTGTTAGGATTGTACTGCCTTCGACTTGTAACATTTGTTTAACGGATGTTAGTAATAATAGGGATTTGAAAACAGTGTAAAAGAGCTCACAAACAGACATATCAGATGAAAAGTTGTGTAGAAGAGAAAGGAAACAATAAAATAAATTGCTACATGGCTTGGTTGGATTCTAATGTAGAATCCGGCCTGTTATTTCTTGATAAGCTAAGTATATCTGTACGTTCACACCGCCGCCGACTTGAGCTTCCAAAGCGGCCCGGAAGTCATTCATTTTCAATGGAAGCTGGCTTTTCTCAGCTGCAAGGAGTGTCAAATCCATCAGTGTCACGTTTTGGGCGTTTTGAGCGTCAATCAGAAAGTTGAAAGAAGCTCAACTTTATGGTAATGAGCTATGATGCGGTTCAGCGGCAAGTAGCGGCAAAACGCCAGCAACCAATCGGAATATAGACGTCCTTCGCGCTGGCTGATTCCGGAGAAACATACGATGTAATCTACCAAAACCTACCAAAACATTAGTTCCGAGAAAATGGAAGAGAAGCTAATAATCGCCGTTGCTGGGTTTCCTACAGGTTTCATATCATTTATGACATGACGTTGTTTGCTTATAGCATAGGTCGGCAACCCGCGGCTCTTAAGCGCCGCCCTAGTGGCTCCCTGGAGCTTTTTCAAAAATGTGAAAATGGAAAAAATATTTTTTGTTTTAATATAATTTCTGTAGGAGGAAAAACATGACAAATATTCTTAAAGTTTTTCAACGTTGTAAAAATGTGTATAATAATTATTTAATTTCAACATTTCTGTCAACGAAGAATTTACGTCATATAGACTGTGACACACGTGTCTGTCAGATCGGCGTGATGCTAGACTGGTGGCTGACAAACAAACAAACAAACCGGCGGGTGTGTCATGGGCAATGGATCAATGGGAAAAAGAGAAAGATAGCTGAGCACTCCCAACGCAATAGAGTGCGGCGCGGGACTAGATTTGATGGCCGAGTGCGAGCCCGGGCGCGTGCGGTAATGCACTCACTCTACTAAAACAAAATAGAAACGATTTACAGGCCAGAATTTCTATTCATAACGTGTTTGCAGCGTTGAGCGATATAGCCAATCACAGACATATGTGTTGATTTCTTGAACGCAATGGCCAATCAGAAGCATTTAAGATAGACTCTCCTCACCGCTCAAAACTGACGTTTTTGTTCAGTGCTGAATTCTGTATGCTGGTAAATCCTCTAATTATAACGAACAAAGTGTGGATATTATGAAAGATTCATTGTGCAGTCAGCTTCATTGATAATAACAGAGATGTGTGAGATCGCGATGAACTGTCAGCTTTTTAGGAATTATTAAAGGTGACCTATAATTCAAAATTGAATTTACCTTGGTATAGTCAAATAACAAGAGTTCAGTGCATGGACATGACATAGAGTGAATCTCAAACTGGACTGTTTTCGCGTTCTCATTTAATTCACGTTTATGAAAAACACCCCTGAAAAACGGTCGGTTCTCCACACAATACCGACTGTGACGCAATAGTCGGGATCATTAACATGTACGCCT